GGCATGTGGGTTCTTAGTTCCCTGACCAGGGATCAAACCTGCGCCCCTGCATTGCAAGTGTGTAGTCTTAACCACTGGACTGCTACGGAAAGTCCCCTTGCTGCAGTTTTGAGGTCACTTGTGGACATGTTCATGTGTAGAATGGTGAAAAACTGGAGTTGCCCAATATGCATGTTCCCAGCTGTGGTCAATTGAGCGCTCACACTGTAAACAAGAGTCCTCTTGCCAGGATTCTGTGCCACATTTTTTACATTTTTGTGTTTTGTTGGTGATTCTGGGTTTCAGATGTCCTGTAAGCATAGTGCTGAGGTGCTGTCTTGTGTTCCTAAGAAGGCCGGGTTGTGCCTGATGGAGAAAAGATATATGTTAGATCAGTTTCACTGCAGCTTGAGTTACAGTGGTGTTGTTGGCTGTGAGTTCAACGTGAATGAACTAATGATCTATATGAAATGAGGTGTCTTTAAACAGAAATACACATAAAACAAGGTTATGTATTGATGGCGTGATGACAGTGTGGTGACCGGAGGCTGGAGGAACCTAACCCTGTACTTCCCCTGGGAGCGATAGTTCTGGGTTCACTCCTTTGGCGTCCAAAGCAACTTTATTGAACAAAACTACTGTGCATCATGGTAATGGACTGTTTTGTCAGGATAAGCAAGAGAAGGGGAGCTACAGAGGTGCTGAGAAAGAGTGAATGATGTGTGTGTGTCTATTCTCGATAGAGAGGCTTCTTGAGTGAGGCCTCTGACAGCTGAGCTGAGACCCAAAGGGGGAGAAGAAGCTGCCGAGCAGGTGGAGAACATTCCGAGCAGAGGGACCAGCGGCGTCTGGAGATGGGAAGGCCTTGGCCTGTGTGGGCACCTGATGGATGATGTGGGTGATGGAGAAGCGGCCAAGAGCCAGCTCCAAAGGAGCTTTGGGGCCTGGCTAAGAAGTTTGGGTTTTATTCTAAAGGCCTGTAGTAAACCATGTAAGCTGCAGAATTCAATCAACAAAGAGGTACTAAAACATGGACTGTGGGCTTGTACCCCTCCCAGCAGGGCTCCAGTGCCCACACAGGCCAGGGCTTTTCCATCTCCAGACCCACTGGTCCCTCTGCTGCGAGGACTTCAGCTCTATGCTTGCAGGGCATCTTAAAACCAAAACCACCCATGAAAGCACAAAAATGTAAGAAGCGCGGCACAGAGTAAGATGGCAAGAAGGACTCTTGTTTACGGTGTGAGAGCTGAATTGACCTCATTTGGGAACTTGCATGTTGGGCAACTCCAATCTTCCACCACTCTACACATGCACGTGTCCACAAGTGATTGCAGCAAGGGGACTTTCCCTAGTGGTCCGGTGGTTTAAGACTCCACACTTTCAATGCAGGGGGCGCAGGTTCAATCCCTGGTCAGGGAACTAAGATCCCAGTGGAAGCTGCAACATGTAGAGTCCAGGTGGAGTCAAGTAATTTTTCCCCTCACCTGCCTGGGTCCTCCTTTGTTCTTATCAAGAGATGTGAGAGGGTGCAGGTGGTCCCTTATTCACCTCTGTCTTTCCCAGGCCAAGGACAGAGCTGGGATTCACTACTCTGGGCACAGACTAGGGGCCACCATAAGCCCACAGAATATGTTTCAGTAAATGTTTGCTGGCTGAATTCTGCAGCTGTGTAGAAAACATGGCGAGGACTTTTCTTAGAACCTGGACAAATTTGGCTTTTAGTTCTCTGCCTCCCAGGCTGACTGACAGGCCAGTGGTGGGGGAGCTGAGCTCCCAGCTCCAGCAAAGGCAGACCCACCATCCCCTTCTCCCCATCCCCAAGCAGGAGCTGGCAGGAGATCAGATGCTGCTTCAGTTCCAAGGAGCTCATGAACAAAGGCTGTAAAAGTTGCTAAGAAACCTGCTTTTTCTGAGGGCTCACCGTGTTCCTTTGTTTCTGTGGCGTTCTGTTGTGAGAGTGGGTGTGAATTGTGCCCAGGGCTGTCACTATGCCAGCCCCAAACCAAGTCAGACTTGAAGGCAAAGAGCTGCAGACTGCCCTGAGCACCATCCGGGAAGCCAGGTATGCTAAGCCTGGAACAAAAGAGGAGGCAGCTGCCTGAGGCCAGAGACTGGCAGAACTGTGAGCAGCTGCAGGAAGCCAGCTCTGGATGCCGACTCCTGGACCCACTTCACCAGAAGCCCAGAAACCTGAGGGTGGGAGGCACCAATAAGAGAATCGGGAGGGGACCCCACTTCCTAGGTGAACTTGGGAAAATAAATCCCTAACAAGATCTGGGCCATTTCAAAATATGAGAGGCAAGATCTAGAGGACTAGAAGGTTCCAGGCTGACCTTTATTTAACTTGCTCCCCTTCTTCTCATGGCTGTAAGGAAAACCTGAGGCCCAGGGAGGAGAAAGGACTTGCTGAGGGACACACAGACAGGAGAACTCATTCTAGGGTCTGTGGGCTGTGAGTGTTAATTTGAGACTAGACCATTCATCCATTCGTCCATTTGTCAAGTACTTACTGAACCCTTACTAAGTGCCAGGCCCCAAAGCCCCAACCCCAATCACACAAGGAGAAAAAAAAAGGATGCCAACCTTTGAGCAAATTGCCACCTTCTCTGAATCTGTTTCCCAGTAAGCATGCAACAACACGAAGGGGCTCCCACTGTGTGTGTGGCTACGTGCTCTGCTTACCTTGGATTCTCTGCTCGCGTGTAGTGCTGGGAGGACAGGAGCTGAAATGGATGAGACACGTGCGGGCCAGCTGCCCTGGATTTGTCACTCTGCAGGCTCCAGGTTCTAGTACGTGCCCACCACCTTGAGCAACTCATTCCTGGCTCTAGACTTCAGTTCAAGGGCACAGTTTATGCTCTCTCTGCCTCAAACCTTTAATGGTTCCTGCTGGCTTTGAATTAAAGACCAGAGACCCTGTAACATGGCCCACAGGGCCGCAGAGGGTCTGGCTTGGTTTGCCTCCCTCCTCTCTCCCCCACTCTGCTCCAGACTCACAGACCTTCATACCTATCACGATCCTACACAGGGTGTTTGGCCAGGTTGCCCCTACACCTGGAATGTTCTCTCCTTTTGAAAAAAAAAAGTGAAGTTAAAGTGTTAGTCGCTCAGTCGTGTGATCCGATGGACTGTAGCCGACTAGGTTTCTCTGTCCGTGAAATTCTCCAGGTGAGAATACTGGAGTCAGTTGCCATCCCCTTCTCCAGGGAATCTTCGTGACCCAGGGATTGAACCTGGTTCTCGTGCACTGCAGACAGGTGGTTTATTTACTGTCTGAGCTACCACGGAAGCCCCCACTTTATTTCCTAGTAAATTCTTTAAAGGCACCATTAAAATATTTATAATTTATGGGTGTTTATAAAAGATTTTCAAACAAACAAGAAATGCAAGTTATGAAAGACAGTATCTACTTGGTCCAGGATTCAAACCTGCACAGATCCCAGGTCTGTAAAGGAACCTTCTCCAAGCCACGGTCCACAGCGCCCTCTAGTGGGCTCTGAATGATAGCACCAGGAGAGCTTCTGCTCATGGTCTCCTGCATCCCCACACCAAGACGTATCAACTACAAGAGGACAGGCGGGAGAACCACGGGAAAACTCCCTTCACGGTATCATACTGGGACCTAGCTGGGGGGCAGGATTTGCATAAGATCTCACCTTGCACAGCAGGGCCAGCCAGGGTTCTTTCCAGCACGTGGTATTATGTAATCCAACCCTCAAAAGCTTTGATAATCCAACCCTCGTGATGCTTTGGTATGCAGGGACTTGTGGCTCATGGGTGAGCACAGAAAATGAGCTAAACTTGTTTCATGTTGTCATTGAAATCCTCCACTCTTGGGTGTAGTCTGCAAGATCCTTTGTGGGCTACCTGGGCTAAGTCTGTGAGCTCACCTCCTTCCCCGCCTCCAACACAGGAACTCCTTCCTGCCTCGGGATCTCTGCACTGGCCGTTCCCTTCGCCCAGAATGCTCCTGCCCAGACTGCCTCTTGGCTCAGACTCCCTTCTTGTCATTCAGCTTTCACAGAGGCATTCCCTGACTATCCTGCTTCATGTTGATCCCCACTCCAGTCTCTAAAATACCTTGTTTTATAACCTCCATGGCCCTATTCACATCTGCAGTCATTGTGGTGAGCTGTCTGCAGTCTGCCTTCCTCCTTAGAATGATGGCTGTAGGGAATTTATCCAGGACCCAGCAGACACCCTGAGTGGGTGGGTGCTCAATGAATACACAGGGAATGAAGGACTGGAGAAAGGCGCAGACAAGGAATTAGCCAGAGACCACGTTAGAGAAAAGTCTGGAGGTTTACTCAACAACAGTCACAATCACAGTTGTACATGGTAAGTCAGGTCTTCACAAAGGCTCACTTTTCCAGGCAGGAGATGAGAGGCTGGTGGTCTCAAGCTTTCTCTATGGAATCCCACATCTGACCTCTCAGATATTCCCTGCGTGTAATCCCTCTGGGATCCTCCTTCAAGTCTGAAACACAGCAGGAACCCAGCTCTGTGGGCCGGCACAGCTGAATCAAGACATTTTGAGAGCAGACATTAAGAGGACCTTGTCACTTGGAATGTAGGTGCAACTCCCACCCCAGAGGTGACAGTGGGCTTTGGCACAAGATCTAGTTAGAACTAAATTATTACTGGAATTTTTTAAAAAAGCATCAGTTGAAAGCAGAAAAGAATTCCAGGACAGGACCCACTCCTTGCCCTTCTCCCATACTTAGAAATCCTCAGAAAACTTAATCAAAGTTGCACTGCCTCCTAAGAATGACAGAGATCACCCAGTCTTGTGCAAACCAGGGATCTCTGAAGCAAGGTGTCCAGATTTCTCAGTTACTTCTGTAAAGTGCTTTGCGGCTCCTTTGAAACTTCAGAGATTAGAAATATAGAGATGCATACCCAAAAATGTGGAGCCATCTTCAAGGACATCATCTATTTCTTAAAGAGAAAAAGAAATTCAACAGGTGGTGAATATAATTTGGACTTTGGGAATCCATATTCTACATCTCCAAAAAGAATCATTATTTCTCCCCAGGTTCTGAGGTTGCATCCCCCATCAGATCTCTTCTGTGGATGTACTTCCTTCTGACTGAGTTATTTCTTCCAAAAATGGGGAACTGATAGCTCCTGAATGGTTTTAAAAGTTGAAAGCTCCAGCTGGAAGCACAAGGTGGAATGGCTTTTCTCGCACGTGCCCACACACTTAGCATTACCTCCATGGCTTTGAACTTACTGGGAAGATGCTCTTTGCATTCTGAAATGTTCCTGGAGTCCCCCTTTGGAAAGGCTGCTGGGGGCCACACAGGTGTGATACTTTGTAGGCACACCGTGTTTTGTGACCTCATGCTCAGAAGAAAGGCTTTAGAGGAGAAGGGGTCCACATTCTCACCATCACCTAGCTGACAGCACCTCCACAGTCTCACAGATCTTTGAGACAGGTGGTTTTCCAAAATGAAGACACAACAGTGAATGGCTATTATGTGCGAATGGTTGGTCTGTTAATGAATGGACTTCTCTCCTTCCTTCCCTGATTACAAGCTATGTCAAGTCTTGGCACCCACAGATGTGGGTTCAGCAATTGCAAATGTCTGAGTGCTCAGAGGATCTATCCATCCCTTGTTGAGGGTGCAAAACCAGCCTCAAAAGGACAACCAAAGGATAGAAAAGAGGACACATGAAGACTGCTTGCTCCCGCTTTCCACATGCGTCCTGGTCTTGCCGAGAACACTGTCACCTGCTGGAGTGGGACCTATTGCAAATCTAATCGCTGGGGGTGGGATGGGGGCTGCAGACATGGCTTCCAAACAGGCCCCTCTCCCAGGGGTGGCTGAGACCCTTCTTGGCCATGGATTAAAAGAGCCATCCAGTTGCCTTTAAATTCAGGGTGTTACTCGCATTGAATGGAATAACACCTGGCCCTCCGGCCCTTGGGGGGCATTGCTGTTTCAGATACTGCTCTAGGCCCAACGCCTCCTGCTTGAAATCAGACATTAGGAAACACACACTCATCCAACAGGGATTGCACACATCACCAAAAATGTACCCCACCCCCCCAACCCTGCCCCCTTACATCTAGCAAGGCACTAGGAAATGATTCAAGTTTAGGGATTGGCTGTACGTTTGCATGTTTTTCTTTTTAAAAGGCACAGTTTTCATTTTAATGTCACTGCATTACTTCTGATGATGAATCCTACCTCAATTCTCCCAAATTGCAACACTCTTGCTTTCCGAGATTCTGGAAGGGGCCGCATCTTTTGACTCCTTCCTAAAGAGGGTTACTGCCAAAAGGTATAGCACTCACTTGGAAAAGACAAGATGGACAAGCAAGCTTTGTAAGCATGGGGCCGCCTCTCCTGCAGACAGAGTGGGACCTGTGCTGAGGCAGAAGGTGGAAGCGAGGCTTTGCCCGCTGCACGCTTCACTGGGGCGGTGGTGGCTGGGAGAGTTTACTTCCCTCCCCAGATAACTGACGAGATCAGCCAGCATCTCAAAGGCAGATCCGTGGCTCTGCTCCCAGATTTATGTCTCAGTTATTTCACTGGTAAATAACACAATCGAGAGGCTCAACTCTAATTGGAACATGGATTTGAAGGACTTCCTGGGCTAGCTGGCGGGAGCAACGGGCTGTAGACTGTGATTTCCATTTCTGAATCAGTGGGTGGCAGGCTGGTTAGAGAAACATTTCCTATTAGTTTGGGAGCCCTCTGGGAGTTTGACACATAATTAACAAAGCAAAAGGTAAACACAGAGGCCCGTCATGGAGCGGAGTGCATATCTGTTTGTGGGACGCTGGGGTGTTCACTGCAGCCATGACTGTGGTGGGGATGGCACAGCTTCTGGCCTGGGCTGAGGACTGCGTCACACCAAGGTCTCTGATATGAGCGGATGGACGTGGGTTCCCCCACCCGTCCCCCAACACCACCAACCTTGGACTTCACAGGTTGTTTCTAGGCTAGGGGCTGCCTTGAAGGTTTTACAGTTGACTGGCTCCTTCAATCACAGCATTCCAGAAATCCATACTGGATGCTAAAATACCAGAATCCTATGTGGCACTCTAGTTGGTGACCCAAGTACAGAGTTCTTTAAAAATTCTAGAATTCCAAATGAGAACCAAACCCACAATGAGTCGGGGCTAGGCAACCGGCCTGCGGTCCACCTCGGCTGCCTCCGGACTTTGTGAGGCCAGCACGTCACACCTCTGCTCCTGTTGAAGCAGGCAGTTGCCCGAGGGAGGGAGAGGAAGGGAGAGAGAGAGAGACGGAAGCGCTGATGGGGAAAATTCAAGCAGAATTTCTAGTTTGGAGGTCTTCTACTATGCCTGCGCCACAGACTCAAGGCCATCTGAAACCCAGTCCTGAAGAGCTGGTGGCCGGACTGTCCTCGAGCCTGGAGAGCACTGAAATGGGCATCTTGAGCACAATGAGAGCCAGGGGAGATGCCCGGGCTGTCCACGGTGGCAAAGGAGGACCACGCTTCTGCCCCAGGCCTGACAGCTGGCCGGCGGTCAGTACTGAACTCGGAGGGCCCCAGGCACGGCTTCTAACTGCATCTCCTTGGGTCATGACAGAGAACAGATGCTGGGGAGTAACTGCAGTTATCCCAAGCTGGGGCCAAAATGAAAAGGCTGAAACCAATGGCCCCGAGAAAGACTCTTGCCCTTCTGCTGCTGATGAGTGGCACTGTTGCTTAAAGTTGGCGCCTACAGACACAACTTGCCTCTCTCTCGCTACAGGACCATCATGGATGAGCCAGCTGAAGCTCAGGCAGCCTTGGAGGATTGTGTTTTGGGTGCCCGAGGGCTACCCTGGCATTCCTCCCGTGTACCGCTCAAGGGAACATGATGACGGGGTGAAAGGGCTCTCCTGGGTTTCCACGCCACCGCCAGGGGTGCAGCGGGCTCTGCTCTGGAGTGGGGCCTCTCGTGGGGTCTGTTCTCCATGCCTCCACCACTTGGGGCCTGCAGGGCTGGGCAGACACCCAGCCGAGCTTCAAGAGCCCCATGACCTGGCTGGCCAGCACCTTGTACAGAATGGGGGAGCCCTGGGAGCCCTGCCTTCCTCTGGAGAGGGAGGCTGCAGGGAGTGCTGGAGGGGACCCTGCCTGGCTCACTGCGGGAACGTGAGGGCTCACAGTTCAGGGCTCAATAGCTTCAGTTGCTATTGAATTTTTCCAAGACTGTGGAGTTGGTGTGTTCAAACAGCCACTGCTGGGTGGGAGAGGAGGGGTTGCAGGTGTTCATGAAGATCCTGTGGTCACTTTCACTGCAGTCCATGCAACTGCCACTGACAGGGTGGTATAGGGTCTGGTCCTGTGAAACAGGCAGGTAGGTGGTCAGCCGGGCCGTGCTGGGCAAGTGAGCACAAGCAGCAGCAGTAACGGCGAGGGGGTGGGGGTGGGGGACAGGGGTGGGGCTCGCAGGCCTGCCTGGCTCGCCTCCCCACCACACAGTGGACACTGCCCACCTCCCTTGAGGCTGGCCTTGCCACGTGCCTGAGCAGTGCCTGCTGGGATGAGGACAAAACTGATGTTTGCCACTTCCGGGCTGGGACCCTAATCAGTGCCCATCTCCAATCAAATTTCATTTGCTCTCAAGGTGGTTAAAAAAAAAAAAAGACTCAGCTGCCAACATTTAAGATTCTAAAGCTGAATTTTTAAAAAAAATTAAAAATAATAGAAAAAGAAAAAAAAAGACACTAAAGCTGGATTTCTGATTTCTTTTGATGACAGGAGAGTCAGGGAGGTTTGTGTAACAAATGCATGAGGGAGGGGGCTCTGGGGAGAATGGGGGAGGCACTTTTTTTTTTTTTTAAATCAAGCAGGCTCCCCTGTCCACCCGCCTCCACACCCTGTCTTACTTTGCGGTACTTCCATAGCTGGTTGCCCTTCATGCTGTGGCAGTCGTAGAGGGTGACGGGGCTGGTGTGGGAGACGGCATCGAAGCAGAACTTCTTGGTGTGCTGGGGGTCTCCGGGCCGGATGTCCTCTCTCCAGGTGAAGGTGAACACCTGCATGCACAGGGACGCCATGACGCCGACAGCAAAGCAAAGCTAGGGGATTCTCTGCTTTTGCAATTACAGGAAATTTTAAACACAGGGGTTCAGAACACTGTATACTGATATAAAAATACTTACCCTCTCTCTCTCTTTTTTTAACCATGTGTCCGAAATTGTTTATTTTCCACTTATAGCAAGTGACAACTGCTAGATTTTCATTGGTTAAAGCAAAAGGTAGTCTCACCCCAAAAATAAAACTGTGTTTAAAGGAAAAAATACCTTCAATTACATGTTGAAATGATAATTTTTATATTTAGGGTTAAATAAACAATATTATATATAAAAAGTATATTGATGATACCTGTCCCAGTGACCCAGCTTCAACGATTATTAAATCACAGCAAATCTTGTTAGAGCTCCCCCTGCACCATATCCCCCATCCCCACATTCTTTTGAAGCAAATTCTGGACATCTTATCATGTCAGGTGTCATGACTTCAGTAAGTGCCTTGATAATAATGAAAAGCTACCAGAAGGTTCTCAGTGTCATCAAATAGCTCAAGTACATACGTTTTCAGATTGCCTTGTACATTTCAGAGTCAATCTGTTTGAATTAAGATCCAAACCAGGTTCATATCTTATATAGGTTTGATAAACTTTGTTTTTTTCAGCAGCTTTACTGAATAATTGATTGGCATGCGATAAACTGCACACGTTTTAAGTGCACAGCTTGACACATTTTGACATAGCTTATACCTGTGACAGCACCGCCATCATCATCATCATCAGGGTAGTGAACGTATCCATCACCCCAAAGGCACCCTCCTGCCCTCTGTGATCTCTTTCCTTCGGCCCCTCCCCAGGCCCCTGGGCAACTCCTTTCTTTGTTACGAAAGAGGAGCTCACAATTTCTAGAATTTTATATAAAAAGAATCAGACAATATCGATCCTTTTTGTCTGATTTCTTTCACTCAACACACTTCTGTTGAGATTTAATCACATTGTAACTACAGCATTTATCAACAATTCATTCCTTACTGTTGCCGAGCTGTATTCATTCACTGCATGATACTCGGTATATCTGTTCTTGAACATTTGGGTTGTTTCTAGTTTTTGGTTGTTTCAAATAGGGCTGCTATGAACATGTGTGTACAGCCATTGTATGGACATGGATATTTCTTCTCTCTTGGATGAACCCCTTGAAGAGGGATGGCTGGATCACAAGAAACATCAATGTGTAACTTTCCAAGAAACTGCCCAAATGTTTTCCAAAGTGGTTGTACCAGTCACATTCCCACCAGTAGTGTATGGTTCCAATTCATCTACATCCTTGACAACCCTTGGTATGGTCGGTCTTTCTAATAGGTTATGATTTTAATTTCCATTTCTCTTATAACTATGAAGTTAAGCATTTTTGATGTGCATGAAGTTAAGCATATCTGGTGGCTCAGGCGGTAAAGCGTCTGCCTGCAATGCAGGAGACCTGGATTTGATCCCTGGGTTGGGAAGATCCTCTGGAGAAGGAAATGGCAACCCACTCCAGTACTCTTGGAAAATCCCGTGGATGGAGGAGCCTGGTAGGCTATAGTCCATGGGGTCACAAAGAGTCGGACACGACTGAGTCACTTCACTTCACTTCATGACTTCTTCACTAAAATCTCTACGCACCTTTTGCCCATTTTTAAATTGCATTGCTTATTTTCTTATTGAGTTTTGAGAAATTTTACCTTCTAAACATTTCCCTGGTGGCTCAATTGGTAAAGAATCTGCCTGCAATGTGGGAGACCTGGGTTCTATCCTTGGGTTGGGAAGATCTCCTGGAGAAGGGACTGGCTACCCACTCCAGTATTCTGGCCTGGAGAATCCCATGGACTGCATAGTCCATGGGTTCACAGTCAGACCCGACTGAGTGACTCTCACTCACTCACAAACATTTAAAGTTGTTATCAGATATATGCTTTGTAAACATGTTCTCTTAGTCTGTGGCTTGTCTTCCTATTTTCTCAACAGTGTCTTTTAAGAACAGAATTTTCTCATTTTGAAGAAGTCCAATCTATCAATTTTTTTGTTTCATGAATTCTCTTTTGGTGTTGTATCTAAGAAACCATTGCTTGGGTTACCAAGGTCAAACAGTTTTGCCTGTGTTTTCTTCTAAAGAATTTTGGTTTCAGTTTTACGTTTAAGTCAATGACCCATTTTGAGTTAATATTTGTATGTAGTATAAGGTATTTATTGAAAAAAATGTTTTTGCACATGGATACGCACTACTTGTTGAAAATATTATACTTTTGCACTGAATTTCCCTTGAACATCTTTAAGAGTGTGGATGGATCTATTTTTGGAGTCTCTATTCTCTCTTTATGTCAATATGGCACTGCTTTAATCAGTGACACTTTAACACTATATGTTAAAATCAGTCCTTTCACTTTGTATTTCTTTTGAAAATTTTTTTGGCTATTCTAGGTCCCGTCCAGTTTTCTATATGAATCCTCTCAAGTTCTTTGGTTCTTTGTCCAGCCCCAGGAGCTTCCTCACACACGTCAGTACTCTGCTGAATATGCAGGGGGGCCCTCTGTAAATCTCAGGCATTACCTGTGTCCGGCTCTCTCCAAGTCTCCAGGATTCCGTTTTGTGAATTCTGGCCACCTTGACCTCCTGCACTCTCTGTGCTGCCTCCTCAACTCAGGGCGGGTGCCTGGCTCCCCCGGGCTTCTCCCCTCCTGACTTGTGGACTGGGAACTCTCTCAAGGAAGGAAGCCAGGACAACCATTGTGCTTGTTGGCTCCCTGTCTTCTAAGGGTCACTGTCTTTCAAGGGTTGACGTGCGCTCTCCCGAAAACAGTCGTTTCACATATTTTGTCCATTTCTTTGGATGCTTCTGGTAGAAGGGTAAACCCAGTTCCTGTTATTCCATCTTGGCCAGAGGTGGGCATTGCAGCGGTGGTGGTGGTGGGGTTAGCCAGTTACTGCTCCCTGAATGTTGACTTCCCAGGCCTCCTCCAGGTCAGGAGCTGTAGCTTAGACTTGCATTTCTTCCTTTTCAGGCTCACTAGAGCTCACCACTCAGAGTGGATGTGGGCCCCATGGGAAACAGATCCCAGTGGGGCAACTGGGCTGGCACACTCCCTGCCTCATGGTGGAGGCTGGCACACCCATACTCCAGGCACAGTTTGCAGTCAGTCTGAGTGAATCCTCTGTCTTCGTGTGGACTCTCCACCGCAAGGGGAGCTATTCTGAAGCTGAGCTCCCTAGACCCGTTCTATCCAGGCCCTGTATTTCTCCTGGTCTCTTCTGCAGCCCCAGGATCAAGGAGCAGCCATACAGGGCTATGGAGAATTCAGAAGAATTAACTGATGAGCATGTGGGCATACTTGCTCAGTTGTGTCCGACTCGTTGTGACCCCATGGACTGTCCCGTCAGGCTCCTCTGTCCATGGGATTCTCCAGGCAAGAATACTGGAGTGGGTTGTCAATGCCCTCCTCCAGGGAATCTTCCTGACCCAGGGATCGAACCTGAATCTCTTGCATCTCCTGCACTGGCAGGCAAATTTTTTACCACTACACCACCTGAGAAGCCCTTAGTCAGTAAGAGCCACTATCTAATAAGAATGGTTTTCAAGAAAGGATGGGGGAGGAAGTCACACATTCCGGAGGCTGGCACTGTGCCTGCTAGGAGGCTGGTTCTGTGCTTGCCAGGAGGTGGTGTAATCTCAGCGTGTATGCTGTGCAGCCCTCCTGATCTGTTTTTACAGAGGACCTGCATTATAGTCTTACATCAGTGTACACTTCCCAAATGCTAGAAAATCCACAGCAGGGAGACTATAAACCACGTGTCTCTGAATCAAGATTCAGTGGATACCGTGTGAGTTAACAGTGGGGTGAACCTGGGAAGGGACCAGGGGAAGCTACGTGCAGTTTCCTGCGAGAGGCATGTCTTTCTACATGGTGGGCTTGCACTTCTCACTCTGGATTATATCCTGTGAGATATATCCAACCCTCTCTCCTGTGTCACCCTATCTTTTGAGTGAGGATGACCACACCCTAGGCCCCAGGAGGGTCCTGTGACCCAGGTCACTAAGAGGACTGTGTCATACCTCCATCATCACTGGCTCAGGAAACCCAGCATGTGAGAGCCCCAGGTCTTTTCTGGAACTCATGGAAGGGACATGCCTTTTCACCGGGCGGCCGGCCGCCTAGAGCCGCTGGTGGCCACCTCTGCCACCACTTGGGAAGACAGTCAGCCAAGGAATGCAGCCAAGAGAGAGGGAAGCAGAGCTGGGGCCCTGGAGAGAGCCTGATGACATCATCGAGACTTCAGTGACATGAGCCAGAAACTCTCTTTCTGTTGACAGCCATTCGGGCTGAGTGTCTGTCACTTGTAACCAACAGTCCAGACTGATGTGCAGGATTCCTCTTTCCAAAGTGTCCAATAGGCTCTTATAACATGTCCCTTGGGCTGACCTGTCACTCATCATTGCCTGGGCCTCTCCCCACCAGCCTCGACCACATGAGCACTGCAGGATTATGACGGCACAGGGAACCCAGCGGCCAGTCCGAGGAGCAGCCCCTACCTGCATGTTGTTCCAGGCGGCCTCCCCGCGGCCCCGGATGCAGCTCTCCAGCCTCAGTGGGGAGCCCAGGGCCCCGTGCTTCGTGTCTGCGCACAGCCCTGTGCCCACATTGCGGATCTGGATGAGAAAGAAGCAGAGAGGACCAGTGAGGTGCTTGGAGATATCCAGCGGGGCCCCTGCTGGGGCGGGAGCAGGGAGGCAAAGTAGGGGATGTCAGTGGTCAGAGCTCTGAATTCTCCTAATGAAGTTCGTCCTGGACTGGTGGGCAGGACAGAACCTGTTAATAAGGGAACAGAGAGAGCAGCTCCACTCAACCTTGCTTTGAATTAGAGTGTGCAGAGTCCTGGGGTGGGGCTGGGGCTTGGAGGGGAGGGGGTGTGGACAGGACAACTCCCGCCTCCTCTCCCAGACAATTTGACCCAGCAGGTCCAGGGATCAAATTTTACCCTCATTACAGGTGATGTAGAGGCTATGCCTTGAAGTCCACTTTAGAAAAGGTGTAGGGTCTTTGCTCTCGGGCCTTGGGGCAGCTGAATGGGAGGCTCCAAAGAGGAACAGAGTCTTACTAAGGCGGGGGAGGACACCCTGTGAGTGCAGGGGCCTTAACATGCGCTGGTCAGCCAGCACGGACTGCAGGCAGGCCCCTGTGCTAGGGGCCGGCATCATGTCGTGTAGCTCCAACCTCACAGACATGGCTCCCCGTGTGATGGAGGGGTGGAAGCTGTCGGGGGCAGAGAAAAGGCCTGCTCCAGCGTCCAGCTGCAGGCAATCTCACCGTCCCGCTGCTGTGAGCCGCACCGCCACTGTGTCCACTGTGTCTAGGGGAGGCCGCGCTCCCCTGGGCTGCCTCCAGCAGTGCCGGAGAGAGGCAGGCCCGTCCCCGGGGGAGGCGGACTCCTCTGGCAGGTGATTCGCCTGAAGACTGCTCATTAGCACAGCCAGACTTCCTCAAAGCCTCACTTGGGGCTGGGGCTCTCCCCCACTCCCCCACTCTCCTCCTTTCCTCCCCTCTTCCAGAGGGCAGCCAGGCCGGTCTGGCAGCTCTCCTCGCCTCCCTGATCATTTCTCTCCGGCGATGCCCCAGTAAGTCTCTTGCTCACCTAATCCCCTCTTGGTGCCTGCTTCCTGGAGGACCTGAACTAACACGGGGGAGAAAGCCAATGAGGTGGCAAAGAAATGAAGAGCTTCATGAGGGAAATCAAGAGGCACCTCATCTAGAAAATGCGCTGGTGTCCGGTGGGGCCAGGCAGAGGGCTTAGCAGGGAAAGGTCCCTCTAATTGGCTGCACAAGTGACAGCTGGTGCGTCTGCAGCCCAACATACTTCTCTCCAGGGTGTTGTGGTTGACAATGTTCTGATTTTCCTGGGGGCCACGGTTCCTGGCTCATCCCGTGGCCAGAACATCCACCCCACTCTTGTCGCCTCTTCCTCTAACGGCCACAGTGATTTGTGCGGATCCAAGAGTAAGACTTCAATCCTGAACCTTTGCTGACTCTACTGGGAAAGAGGTGCTTACTTCTTGCTAGGTTGGCCAAGCTGGGGCTCTCTCAGCCCAAGGTTTCCCAGAGCCATCTTGCTACTCTTGGCATGAGGACAACACACAGGGAAGCACAGTTAAGTAGGAAAAAAAAAGAGACTGACATCATTTGAACCCCCTGGATCCAGGCGTTCATAGTTGAAGCCACAACTTCAATCTTGTTACCCAAGATTTCTATGAGAATCAATCACCGCCCTTTCCACCTTAGAATGGACTTCTGTCACTTACAACAGAAGGAGCCCCAGCGTGTATGCTCCCCCTCCACAAGTCCCCTTATACCCATCTCTGAGTGGTCTTCTCAGCCAGAGACCCAGGAGCCGGGATGCGGTGACGGACTGCCTGCCTCCTCCAGCGGGACTCGCTTCTTGGGTGTGTGACAAGGGCAGCGGCATAGGGTCCCTTACTCAGAGTCTACGTTCGGTTTAAAGCTGTGCTGTCACTGTCTAAAATGTCCTAATAATTTTACCTTTGGACCTGAAAGTGAAATCTCATGGGATAACCGAGCATGCACGTGGGCAGAGGTGAGGCAGACTCTATGAGCACCTGCTGTTCCTCTCTGCCAAGCTCACATACAGCATCTCTTGAGTCCCTGCAGCACAGTCCCTGGGTCCCCCATAGGCACGGGAACTCAGCAACGCTCAAAGCAAGTAGGGGTTGAGGGTGTCACAGCTGTCTCTAAGAGGGGGTGCTGGCCTGTCCCAGAGGCTACACCCTCCTTTCCAACCAGAACCGGCTTTAGCTTCACAAAGGAACGTGTCCAAGACACAGGAGGGACTGGGAAACCCTATCGTGTCCTTTCTTTCTTTCCGGCTGCACTGGGCCTTCGTTGCGGTGTGCAGGCTTCTCATCGTGGTGGCTTCTCTTGTTGCGGGGCACAGGCTCTAGGGCGCCTGGGCTGCAGTAGTTGGGTCATGAGGTCTTAGCTGCCCTGCAGCATGTGGAACCTTCCCAGACCAGGGATCAAAACCGAGTCCCAGGCATTGGCAGGCAGATTCTTAACCACTGGATCACCAGGGAAGTCTATGTCCTTTCGTTCTTGCGTTAATTCCCTGGATGACCCAACTACTTCAGCAGCAAATAGCACAGAAGCAAAGGGAAGGAGGGGGCAACCTAGAGTTCCTTTTCCTTCAGCTCTTTCCCACTCATCAGGAAGATGTTGATAGGATGTGTACCATATCAAGAAGTTAAAGAAATATAGCTGAGTTAGTTCTGTGCTGTGTTTCCACGGCTCTGGTAAGAAATACATACGCATGGGTGAGGTCTACAATATGGATTGTGAAATTTCACCAGTTGTACATAAATTGAATGTTCCTTTGGCCTTTAAAACTGGCACTGCAGATCATAAAGATGAATAGTAAAATTTATGCTAATACTTTAAAGTTTTAATTTTTTTCTACTTGTAACATTAAATAGCGAACAAACAAAAACCACCACCCCAAGGCTAAGAAGAGAGACCAGAGAAAGAAAGGAGAAAGTTTATATGTTACACCTCTACTGGCACTTTTTAGATGACACTAAGCTTTTTTTTTTTAAATTTTAATTGAAACATAGTTTATTTACAGTGTTGTGTTACCGGCACTTTTTTCTCTAAATTATGGACCCTGCGCGTGCATTTTGACTCGAAGACCTATTTATGTTGCGGGCCCTAGCCTTCACACTCACCTCACCCCAGGCTGCGGCCGGGGGCTCCACGGGTGGGTAGAATTGGGGCAGATCCCAGGCGATCTTGGTCATAAACCACTTGAAACTCTTGCAGTTCAGGGAGCTACGGAGCTTTTTCTGGGCAGTCACGTCCCCAGCGGAGAGGTGTCGGTACTCTGGGCGGCGCTGGTAGATGTGCTCTGCGTACTCGTCCATCCACACCTCCGCCACTCGCTTCAGATTCTGAAGGAGACGGGCAGGTGCAAGCGTCAGGCTCTCCATAGGGTTAAGGAGGGCAGGGGGTGCAAACGGTCTGTGAGGTTGAGGTCAACCTTTCTTATTTTATGCTGTATCAAGTGCTGTTGCCACACTGTTTTTAAACCTTCAATATTTCCATTTTTTTAATCAACATTTTAAGAGCTCTATAGCTGACGGTTGAGTAAATACACTGAAGCTGGTTTTCTTGACCATCTTGTGCCCCTTCCTTCCTAGAGATTGCCTCCCACTGAATTTGGGGACCCACCCCTGCCTTTTATTTCAGACGGCCGAAGGAAAGCCACGTGACTCAGCCTGGCCAATGGGAATATAGATAGCAGGGACATACGGATTGGTCAGGAATGAGCATGTGACCTGCTCAAGCCAATCAGAATCAAGAGGCATTAGTCCTGGAAGAATTGCTGGGTAAGATCCGATGGGTAAGATGCCAGGGAGAGCCGCTGGGGCATTTGAAAACCCCGTCCAAGGTTAGGTCATCCCAGAATGAGGCAGAGCTGAGGGTTAGAGCCAGGAACACATTACTCTTTTGGTTCCAGAATCCAGCCTTGTCTGAAGCCAGAACTAGCACAGAGCTTTCCATTTACGTGGGTCAGTAACTTGGCTTTCTGCTTAACCCAATTTGAGTTGGGCTTTTGTCACATTCAACTAAGAGTTCTGCCCAAGTTGGCTAGTAAAAACGAATTACAATTTGCAACCAGGAGGTAAAATTCCCTCAGCAGCTAGAATTTTTAACAATCCTTTGAGGTGTTAAGGTTGCTGCCACTTTTATTACGAAGCACAAAGATAATAATAATAATAAAAAAGATAACCGTATTACTTGCAAGTCAAAGCAGCAAGAGGTGAGGAAATATCCTGTTTATGAGTAGATTTGGAGAGAAAGGAAAAGTGAATTCTTCTGTGTAACTGTGATGAAAATCTCTCACTCCACCCGCAGTGTAGACTCCACCTGCTGACAACCTCTTACTTGGCTTGGAAGAGCAAAACACCAGAGTTCAGGGGAAATTCCCTACTCTTAAACATCTTCCTCCAACCCCAGGCTGTTGCTAGGATACCGCTCCCCTCCCATTTTATTCTCTAGGCTTTATCATATCATTTTCCCCCTTTTGCAATCCAGATTTCCTTCTGAAGAATAAAAGTGAGTTAGCACATCAGTCACACACACTTCAGTGTAAATGACTGCCCTAGAGGCAGAAGGTAAGGTTGCAGTTGGCAAATGTTTTCTGTAAAGGGCCAGACAGTAAACATTTTAGGCACTGCAGACCATGTGGTCTCAGCTCTGATGTTGCTATAAAGCAGCCCTAGACACTGCATCAATGAATGGGTGTGGTTGTATTCCAATCAAACTTTATGGACACTGAAATTTGATTTTTCACGTTTCACAAAATATTATTATTCTTTTGATTTTTCTCCCCTAAGCTATTTAAAAATGTAAAAACTATTCTTAGCTCATAGGTCACACAAAAATACTTTGCTGACTGCTGAGTAAGGAGAAGGGAAGCCTTGGTATTGAAGCTGAAACTCCTCACTTTTGCTGGCTTTGAGTTTGGGAGTAGGAAACTACAAAATTTCTTGCTGCTGCCTCATTTTTTCTTGAGTTCTGAAGAGGTTGACAGTGGGTCAGCAATCAACTCAGGAACATTGTTATCCCCACCAGGCCCCTGCACGGCAGAGGCTGGGTTTAATTTAAAACTGTGCCCTGGGAATTCCCTGGCAGTTTGGTGGCTAGGACTCCACGCTCTTACTCCTGAGGGCCCATGTTCAATCCTTGGTTGGGGAACTAAGATCCCGCAAGCCATGCAGTGCAGTCCCTCCCCCCCCCACCTTCCGCTAAAAGAAATAAAAAATAACAACAATAAAAAGCAATCATGTTGAGAGGAAGTTGAAGGCCTAAAGGGGCCAGCACATGTGAATACTTTTCTTTTCCTGGTCTTCCACTCAGGTCCTCTGGCTCACTGGTTATCTGAAGCCACAGAGATGATGAGGGACCATCATGGTTTTCTCTCCAACCATAGGCAAGGATGGCCAAACTGACCAAGGAAAGGTGCTGAAATTCACCAGTGTTCTTTTTAAAGGATAAAATCAAATAATATTCTAATTTTAACTGATACTTAAATTACTATTTTAATGAGTATTATATTTTCCAGACGGTTTAGTAAGTCATTTCTCCCAGATCTTGAAATTTTGTACAGTTACTGGACCAAAGTAATGACCTTTACATTTATGTCTATTACTTCTCCCCTTGCTAGAGTCATGAAAAGGACTCTGAGATTTTAGTGGGCTGTGGTTTCCTCTTATCCTTACCCTTGAAAGTAAAAGTGAAAGTTGCTCAGTCCTGTCTGACTCTTTGCGACCTCATGGAGTGTAGACCGTGGAATTTTCCAGGCCAGAATACTGGAGTGGGTAGCTGTTCCCTTCTCCATGGGATCTTCCCAGCCTAGGGATCGAGCACCTTCCTTTGATCCCTGGGTTGGGAAGATCTCTTGGAGAAGGCAGTGGCAACCCACTCCAGTATTCTTGCCTGGGAAATCCGGTGGACAGAGGAGCCTGGCAGGCTACAGTCCATGGGGTCACAAAGAGTCGGACACGACTTAGTGACCGAACAACAACGCCTTTCTAGTTCTGGGTTCCAGTCCTACCTGAGGCTCCCCGTGCTTTTCTTATGCTTGGATCACAGACCTTTGCCCAGAATCCTGGAATAAGTCTCTAAACAAAAGTCAACTTTTGTTTCATCGAGCTTGATTGGGTTTCTGTTACTGCCTTCCCAAAGACCCCTTGGCCAGAGGCACAGGTGAGAAGGGTCTTAGCAACTTTAGTGAACAAACTGCCTGGTTACTGGTTCTTGAGGCAGGCGAGCTGGTGGCCATTCATTCTTTGTGAATCATTGTTCTATTGCTGCCTGTCTCTTTGTCCTTCCAAGTCTGTACACCTTTAGTAAGATTTTGGTTATCCTCTTTATCTGTCTGTCGTGGGACTTTCAGAATATCTCTTCTCAAATCTATCAATACGATGTTCTAGGAGATAATGCTCTAGAAGGATATGGTTGATAAAACACTGAGAAAAACATGTAAATTATAATTTGGAACTAAGCAAAAATAGTTAGATACTGTGATAAAAAGTGAGGAGACCTTGATTGAGGCACCTTTGGTCCTGCCAGCCTACATGGGCACCACGCAGACTGCTAACGGGTTTAAAGCCAATAGATTGACTCAGTAGTGACAGGTGAAAAAAGCTGAAATGTTACAACACAGGATTCAGATAAGACATTGAAATCAACTTCCCAACCTTGTTAATACTGATGCCAACACATACTGGTAATAACAATTACAGTCACTATTTAAAGGATAATTACACTGTGCCAGGCACCAATCAGACCTAAGTGGGTTTGAATTCTGGCTCTAGTTACTTTGTGTCTTTACATTTCACTGTCCTCATTTCTAAAATGATTAAAAACAAGTTGAGAACTAAGCGAGGTAAGTATGTAAGATGCCAACTTTGAACAAGGCCTGGCTCACAGGAAGTTTTTGTTCATCCATGGATCAATAAACAGGGAGTGATGGCGTGTATTTCCCAGGTGAGTCATATTGACATGACAGCTCTGGTCAGGGAAAGGAGTTTGGGAGTGGTCCTTCTCAGGGGTCTGAGGTGTCTCAATAGTCCCACAGTCTCCAGCAGCTGGAAGAGTCACAGTCTTGGGCTTACTGAGAGACTCTGGAGTCTTTCTGCCTGGCACCTTCTTCTGGGATTGCCAACAATATTTCAGAGGAAATGTGAGTTCTGCCTCTCCTGCAGAACTAGAACTCCCACCTGCATAGGACCAGGCTGTCCCAAGCAGGGATAGCTAGTGTGGCTGTCGTTGGAATCTTCGACCACTAGAGGGCATTGCTGGCTCTCTTTTCCATCAACATCAGTCCCTATAGTAGCCCAGCCCAGCATCCTGGAAGACTACTGCCCCTCTGACCATCTCCTTGTAAGTCGCAGAACAAGGGCTCTTTCGACCTTGGCTGCAATTCTGCACATCGCTGATTGTCAGGTGACAAGGGAGGGAGAGGCAGTGGCCTGGGCAGGAGGCTGTGTGGACTGAAGCCAAACAGGTTGGCAAGGGGTAGGGTGGGGGTCTTCAGGGGTAGGGTGGGGGTCTCCAAGAGGCAAAGCTATACTGTGACCCTTCCAGATCCCCCAAACTTCCTGGCTCTCTTTACCCTCTGAGATTCTGCTCCCCACCTCTCCCAACCTTCATTGTTCTTTTGCAGTCATCTTGATTTTTTCAAGACTCTTAATATTTTAAAATTTATTATTATGGCTTAGTGAAATATTAGTAATACAAAACAAATAAAAATTTCTTGCTATTTCCATTTGTAGATAATGGCCACTAATTAGAGTGATGATTGATATAAACCATTTTAAGGCAATAAAACAGTTTAACATAGAATTTTGGGCATGAAAATGGAGAGGGGATGAGGAGAGGACACTAACATTTATTAACCACCACTGTGCCCAGACCTTTCAGATACCATCTCATGCATGTGCGTGCTCAGTCGCTTCAGCTGTGTCTGACTCTTTGTGACCTTATGAACTGAGAGGAGCCACCAGGCTCCTCTGTCCATGGGGATTCGCCAGGCAAGAATACTGGAATGGGTTGCCATGCCCTCCTCCAGGGGATCTGCCCAACCCAGGGATCGAACCCATGTCTCTTATGTCTCTTGCATTGGCAGGTGGGTTCTTTACCACTAGTGCCACCTGAGAAACTCTAAGTACCATCTCAGTCTTTCTCAAACATGCCACTCTACCTATATTAACTTTTATCTAACATGTTTCTTTAAATCACCCCTAGTCTAACTTGGCACCAACTTTAGCTTTATCCTAAGTCACAATGTCTGTGAAATCATGAATCTGCTACACTAATCCACATATAATTTAAACGCATGGAAATAAAAATGTCCCTATGTCTAGCACCTAAAATCACCTCCCTGGTCACACTTTGGGAAACTGATTATCTCCTTAAGTCTTCTGGCCACGCTAAGAGTTGGAAAAAGTGAGCTTCCTTGAAGCAGAGGGGTAAATAGAGCCTAAGAGCAAGCCTCCCAAGGTTACAGAGCTAGTAAGTGATTAAGCAGGGTTTTAAGTAAGTTTTCAAATTTTTTCACGTATTTATTTATTTTGGCTGTGCTGTGCGGCTTGTGAGATCTGTTACCCAACCAGGGCTTGAAGCTATGCCCTTGGCAGTGAAAGCTTGGAGTCTCAACTGCTGGGCCATGAGGGAATTCCTTGGCGGGTGGGGATGGCGCACATCCTCACACCTGGGGACCACTAGGCCTAGGGCATGGGGTGCCTCTGATCTGCTGAAGTCACAGGCCAACCTCTCACCCCCTAGGGAAGCTACCAGCTTACCCGGGCCAGGCTGACTCCAGCAGGCACCTTGTAGGGCACGTACTTCCTGTAGATATGGCCCACCCTGGAGCAGGGAATGTCCTCCATGCGACCTCCACACATCCACACCTGCAGGATGAGAAGTGAGAGATGATATTTCAGCCCCCAGTTCACAGCCTCCTCGAAGGCCAGCGTTCCTTTGTGCATCCCTAGAAAGCATCAGCTTGGATTGTGTACTAAAGCCCCCATTCACAGGACCAGGGATGTAGGAAAACACAGTGATGACAAGAGCAGCAAAAACAGCTCAGGGCATCGAGTGCTGACTCCAAGCCAAACACTCTGCTGTGAGCTTCACACGCACAGTTTCACAGAAGCCTCATCAGAAAACCCATAACGTTAGGTAGTAACGGAGCTCCATTTTACAGATGAATAAACAGAGGCTCAGAGAAGCTAAGAAACCTCTCTGAGGTCACACGGTTAGTATGTGGTAGAGCCAGAAATTTAAACGCAGTTTGAGCTGACTCTGAAGAAAGCTGAGAGCCGAAGAATTGATGCTTTTGAATTGTGGTGTTGGAGAAGACTCTTGAGAGTCCCTTGGACTGCAAGGAGATCCAACCAGTCCATCCTAAAGGAAATCCTGAGTCTTCACTGGAAGGACTGATGATGAAGCTGAAACTCCAGTACTTTGGCCACTTGATATGAAGAACTGACTAATAAGACCCTGATGCTGGGAGGGATTGGGGGCAGGAGGAGAAGGGGATGACAGAGGATGAGATGGTTGGATGGCATCACCGACTCAATGGACATGAGTTTAAGTAAACTCCAGGAGTTGGTGATGGATAGGGAGGCCTGACATGCTGCAGTCCATGGGGTTGCAAAGAGTTGGACATGACTGAGCGACTGAATTGAACTGAACTGAGCTGACTCGAGTCTGAGCTCTGGATAAGTGTCAGAATTATAAGGGGGCATGGAGGGCTCTATGGGCAGGACTGTGATGATCACTTTGCACTTTGTGCTGGTAGGGACTAGGCTGTGTATTTGCTGACTTTGGCATGGGCTGCTGGAGTTCCCTGTTGGGCCTGTAAACCTCTTGCTGGGTCACCCTGAGCAGTCACCTTTCTCCTGCCCTGACTCCCCTGCAGGCTGGCTCGCTCAGCTGCGCAGCTGGGCACTGCTGCCTGCAGTGTGGGAGCCGGTGCTGCTCCTGAGTCTCCCTTCATAACCAGCATCACAGAGGTCCCCTGAGTAGGAACTCTGGTCTGATGGTAAAATATGAGAATTCTTAACAAGTACAGTCAACCCTCTTAGAGGCCCAGCCTAAACAGACCCCTTTCTGGCGGTCCTGGGTTCAAATCCCGACTCGGTCACTATCCAGCGTTGTGGCTTGGATGATGGCACTTAACTTCTCTGAGGCTCAGTTTCCTCATCTGTAAAGGATGAACTGAGGTAGGTTCAGGGGATGAGGTATTTTAGGTGAGGAGCTTACCACAAGCCCTGGCCCCTAGTCACAGCGGTGTGAGATACTGCAATGATGGGTTCATACACGTGGCTAATATTTGTGGACTGCTTGCTACATGTCAAACACTGTGCTGGGCACATACAGCAGAGAATAAGTTGGCCAAGGCCCCTGCTCTCATGGAGCCGGAGTGTGCTGGCCAGCCCTGGAGACGCCCCCCAGTGGCCCCCGTGTCCCAGGATTTGCACGCTTAGGCAGTTCCCTCCCAAAAGAGCCAAATGAGGACTGGCCTGTGTAACCAACAAGATGCTACAGAAATGATGGCCATGAAGGACAATGTGGCTCCCATCTTGCTCCCTGGGATCACTTGCTTTGGGGCAGCCAACTGCCACATTGTGAGGACCCTCAAACAGCCCCGTGGAAAGGCATAGGTCGTGAGGAGCTGAGGTCTCCTGCTAAGAGTCCTGATTTGCCCACCATGTGAATAAGCCAGCTTAGAAGTGGATCCTCCAGACCCAGTCAAGCCTTCAGATGACTGCAGTCCTGGCTGACACAACTGCGTGACAGACCCAGGCAGAACTATCTCACTTAGCCACTCCCAAATCCTTGACCCTCCAAGACTTTGAGATAATAACTGTCTATTGCTGCTTTGAGATTATTTTTTCCTGTGGCAGTAGATACCTAATACAGGGACTTTCCGATGGTGATGTGCACTCTTCAGAAGCCAAGGCAAGGTAACTAGATGGACTCATTGGACAGACAGATGGGATATGCTGCACTACCCCCACCTGTCACGGAACGCCTCCCCGGGAAGGAAACAGTCATATCCCACGAGGGGATAGGCACATGTGGGACTGCAATTAGTGGAAATGCTGCTTGGAGAAATGCAATTATATTCTGGTCTTGGGGGAGAAAAAAAAAATCGAGCAAGTCAATAGAACAGAACATTGGTCTCGAGATAATGGGCTCCTGATGGTAGATTAATGTCAGGGCCAAGCCAAGAAGTTTATTTTCAAAGCAGGAGATATTGATCAGGCGCCAGCATCCTATAACAATAACTCTTCCTTTATACAGAGTGACTGATGTGGAAGCGATGCTTTTGTCTGGCGGATATTGCCCGGGTTGCTGGGCCGCCCCTGCCTTGAGGGAGGCGGAGTGGCACAGAGCAGGTGGGGCACACCTTCCCCTGCTCTATGCTGAATGTCTTCTGGGCAGTGGACTAGGCTGGCATCCAGCTCTCTCGACTCCATATTAAACTTGCATTAGCTAACGAGGCTGTGTCTCCGGCTTTGCCTGGCAAGGAGCCTTCCTTTATGCAGATGGATTTCCAGATCCTTCTCTGTGCTGTGACCTCGGGATTCTTTGGCCGTGACCACGCTGGCCATCAGCCTGAAGGTTCCTGAGGGTGACCCTGATCTATTGAGAGGTCTGAGGCAGCCAAAATGCCCTCAGATTCCCAGGATGTCCGGAGCTCAGGAGGAGTCCTGGTTTTGGACAATGGCTTCCCTGCCCTGGACCTGACTCACTGACAGCTGAGTCCGAATGCAAACTGCCTTCCGAGAGATGCATACCTGTTCAGTGAAAGCTGCTGCCAACAGCCGAGTTCCCTGGGAGCACCTGAGCAGTCTGAGCAGCTCTGGGTACATCCAACCCTTCAGAGCTCCCTCTGGAGCTTCCCCGGTGGTCCAGTAGTTAAGAATCCGCCTTGCAATACAAGGACACTGGTCTGATCCCTGGTCCAGGAAGATCCCACATGCTGCAGAACAACTAAGACTGTGTCCCACAACTACTGAGCCAGCACTCTAGAGCCCGAGAGCCACAACTGCTGAGCCCACGTGCTACAGATACTGAAGCCCACAAGCCTACAGCTGGTGCTCTGCAATAAGGGAAGCCACTCTGAAGGCGTGGCTTCAGTTTCAGGTTCTGCCACCAAGTCAGTCAGAAAAACGACATCATCTCTTTGTGCTTCACTTTCTCCATGTGGGAAATCGGGCCACAGGATATATGAAAGCAAAAAACACGACGATGTTGGGTGAAAGGGCAAATACTGTATCATTTCAAGGTGACTGTAGTTCTCATCCTTTTGCAAAGAGAAATGAGTAGCCCCTGCTTGCCATAATTAGAGCACTGCAAGGAAGGGTAGCCCCTGCTTGTTGTAATTAGAGAAAGGCCACAGGTAGCAATGAAGACCCAACACAGCCAAAAATTAAAACAAATAAATCCTAAAAAAAAAACAAACCAAAAAACCACCACACTCTGGCCACTCAGAACACATCATACGCAGCAGGCACCACCCCGCTGCGGTGTTCGCTGGTTATCTGGCAGGATCCTGAGGCTGCAGGGGACTTTCCATCTAGGGACATGATAAAAGCTGGAGGCACTGACTTATATCCTGACTGGCTCTGGGCTGGGGAGATGGACTCCAGGTTCAGCTCCTGGCCCAGGGCACCTACCTGTGCACCTTCAGGCCCCCCACCTCCCTGCCTTTACAGCAGAGGAAGCAGCCCCCCAAGACCCACAACAACCGCAGCAAGGGGGTGGTACGGGCAGACAGTCTTCTCTAAGGCCAGTGCCACCGGTGCAGCAGCGTGACCGGGGGGATGAGAGTCACTGCTACCTCGCAAGGCCGCCGAGACGGCCTGAGACAAGCCGCGAAGAGCACTCAGCTTGATGCTGGGCCACAGCAAACCTGATTAGTGTTACTCACTTCTCTTTGCGAAAGGACGAGAAGTACCACTGCCTTGAATGATACACCCAACACCATCAGCTTTTTCTTTTTTTTAATATCCTGTGGCCCGATTTCCCACATGGAGAAAGTGAAGCGCAAAGAGATGGTGTCGTTTTTCTGACTGACTTGGTGGCAGAACCTGAAACTGACCAGGAGGGTGACAGGGCCAGGCGGGAGGGGCATAGTCACCGGGCCTGGCTGCCCGAGGGGTTCTTCTCTCCCCCAGGTAACGCAGCGGCAGGAGAAGAGCCCCGCTGCGGGCAGAGGGGAGAGGCGCTGCAGAGGCACCCACATTTGGCCAGGACCCGGCCGCATTGGGATGGGGACAAAGACTGGCGGCTGAGATGGCATCTTACAGCCCTTCTCTGGGGCCAGCCGTCTTGCCTCCCTCGCTCTCTGTGCCCTCCCTGGCCTCTGCTCCTGGGCCTTCTCAGGGAGCCCAGGTCCACCGCAAGGAATTTCTGAGCACACTCTGCCGGCTTGTTTCCCGGTGCCGCTTCCTCTGCACCAGTCTTCTCCCTGGAAGCACCATGCCACTAGACAAGTACAAATCTAATTGTAAAAGCTTGCTCCCCATTCATTTCCTCTGCTGCTTTGATTTATTTTATTAGCAAACTTCTTTTGTGTGATGACAGGCTTCATTACAGTGTCTATAAAAGACAATTACTCGCTCTTATCTCCTAAACTGAGGAGGAAAGAAACGAGTGGTGATGAGCATCAGGAAGACACAATGGGCCCTGGAGACCAGGCGTCAGAGCGGCCGTCCCGCAGAGGGGATGCGCCAGCGAGCGGGGTGGGGAGAAACCTCTCTCTCAAGGGAATGGCTGCCTGGAAACCAATCGGGAATGGACAGGCATCCTACCTGCCCATGGAAGGGAGAAGCCATCAGCCAGCTATGGCTTTTGCTGTTGGCAGCTAGGCTGAGGACCCCAGTGAAGTCCAAAC